CTGGGCCGGCACCCTCCAGGTCCAGCAGCGTAGTGGGGCACCTCCCTGGCCATACCTTCCTGAGTCCTTTCGCATACCTCCTCCTGATGGCCGTGAGCTCCGAAGGGCTTGCTCCGTACTCCTTCTGGCGGTATCCGACCTGGGCCATAGGTCCTTCCTCGATGACCTGTCTCCTCGTCCTGACTTTCTTGAGCTTCTTTGCGATCGCTGCGAACCTTTCGAAGCCCTTCCTCTTCTTCTTGTGCTGTGGGTGGTTCTTCTCGTGCATGTCTTCCCTGCCCTGTCGAGTCCGAGGTCTCTTCCCTCTGTGGCGGTCTTAAGTGTGATTCCCATCTCCTCCAGCCTTTTGGTGGCCCGCTTGGAATAAAACATGGTAGAAAAATCGTTCCCATATTATTTTTGGATTATCCTTGAATTTTCCTCCTGTAGAGGGGCATGCCCCGCTTAACCCTACAAGCATCCCAAAGGCCTTCGGCCTGCAACCCGGGCACCGTGGCGGGACGAAGCGAAAGCCACTGGACAACAGCGGCCTGGGAGGGGACGTCACCAGAGGTGTACACGTTTTGCAGCCAAGCCAACTAACTCCGCTGAAGTCAGGACGGCCACACTGGGCAGAAAAGCCTCTGGCAGCAGGCTTCCCGCAACGACAGCGAGGGCAAGTGACATGATAACGACTGCCTGTCGATCGTGGCTTCTGGCTCGTCGTTCCTCACGGTGCATCGCCGCCTCCTCCAACCCCTATGTTCATGCTGCTCCGCATGCTTCTCCTTTCACTCCTCCTCCTCCTCCTTCTCCTCCTCTTCCTCCTCCTCCTCCTCCTCTTCCTCCTCTTCCTCCTCCTCCTCCTCCTCCTCCTCCTCCTCCTCCTCCTCCTCCTCCTCCTTTTCCTCTTCATCCTGCTCGTATCCACACCCATTTCATCTCGAGCGGCTCGTGTGCCGTGCTTTTGGGAATTCACGCCAGCCTGCGGACGTTCAAAATGGATGGTGCTCCCGACAGCGGGAAATTCGAACGGAAGCGGATATACGCCGCCCAGTAAGATGTGCCGCCGAGGTGCCTGCAGCCGAGGTGCCTGCAGCCAGCTCGGCGCGTGTGCTCTGGGCGCGAGTGCGCATGGCTACAGCCGATCCAGACAAATTCGCCGCTCTGCGGTCGATCGTCTCCCGCTTTTTCGCCTGCCTCTCCCCATCTCACACATCCATCCCGCCCCCCCCCTTCGGGGGTTCTCTCTGGGGCGCCCTGGGGCCGAGATTGCAAGACGCTTCCTGTCTTCGAGCTCGGCGCCGACGTGGCCCACTCGGACGCGGATGGGAGAGACGGGCTGCTTCGGTTGTGCAATTTGAAAACAGAATTCTATCACAAACGCCCGCCTGAATCGCTGCTGCATGTCCAGACGTAGCATCAAACAACCATGACGCCTGGATGAGTTCCAGATGCGTCTCTGTGCAATCCAGGACTGGCGCTTCGCTGGGCCAGCGACCACCCCAGGCTCCCACAGGCGCACGAGGTTGCGACGTGCACAGCTCGGAAGCTTGCCACGGGCGATCATTTTCAACAGCGCGCTGCTCCGCAGGCCATAAGCTGCCGCTGGGCCACCGACCGTTGGGCCCCAGCGGGGCGCCGCGAGGCGACGGCCCAGCGGCGGCAGGGAGCGAAACGCACCCTCGAAGCGGCGGACGCCCGCAGCCCAGACCCCCGACGTCATGATTTCTTCCATGACGCGACCCCAAGAGGTCCGGACCCATTCCCCGGGACCAGCTGTTCCTCCCGAGCCGTTGTTCGTTCGACGGTCCCGAGGCCCGGTGAGGGCCCCCAGAGGCCGAGAATAGCGAAGAACCTGCCGCCGTGAGTCTGTTCACGACCCGAGGGGGGTCTGCGGGAGAGGCGCCCCCCCGCCTGCCGCACATCCCGCGACGCTCCTGCGGGGCACGCGGGCTGGGCGCTTCCGCGCCGCCGGCCGGTGGGCCCCCCCCGGCCACGAGCCCAATCGGGGGCGCACGGGCCCGGGTCAGCCCAAACCCGGGTCCGTCGGGCCCTGGCCACCGCTCGGACGTCCATTCCCTGTGCTTTTTTCGGCTTCGTTCGTGGCTTTTTTCGCCAAAGGATCAAGGATGCTCCTCGATGGTCCTCGCCAAAGGGAAAATGCACACGTCCGAGCGATGCCAAGGGCCTTGCAGGATCCTGCCGCAGGATCCCGCAGGATCCTGCGAGCCAGCCCCGGTCCATGCAGCTGTGGCCCGGCAGGATCCTGCAAGGTCGGGCGCTCGGGCTGACCCCTGGTTGCACTGACCCCCGTCTCGTGAAGCAAATCGGGCTACACATCGAGCCGCATCGGCGATGCATCGGCGAAATGTCGCGATCCTCCGACCCCATCTACTCCGACCCCATGTCGGGCATGTCCTCCCACAGGCGGATTTTGGAGGAAATATAAAGATGACCCACAACTATTCAGACCCTGAAGAAATTATTTGAACCATCGCCCCCTGATTATTTTGTGCTTGGACTATCATTCTCGAGTCGAGTGTTCCTCCTGTCGAGGGACAGGCCCGAGTTGAGCCCAGATCCCCGCACCCCGCAGGCCTCCGCGAGGCCAATCGGGGCGTCCTCGTAGGGGCCCTTCCCGCCCTCCTTGGGCCCCCACGAGGCCGCCCGCCCCGACCCCCCTCCCTTCCCGGGCGCCGCCGCCCCCCGACGGCCCTCCCCATCCTCCCCTCCCCCCCCTCCCCTCCACAATTACTCAATATGAATATACTCTGCCTCTTCCCCTGATGGCGTCCGGGTGATGGCCGCGCACCCTCCGCGTATTGTTTTTTACACACAGGATGCCCGGGAAATCGTGGGAAACGACTCTCGCTGAGGCGCCGGCGTCATTTTTTCCCAAAATCTTCCCCTGATGGCGTCCGGGTGATGGCCGCGCACCCTCCGCGTACTGTTTTTTACACACAGGATACCCGGGAAATCCCGGGAAACGACTCTCGCTGAGGCGCCGGCTTCATTTTTTGTTAAAATGCTGCTCTCGTTGAGACGCCGGCCTCATTTCTGCTCCCGAATCCTTCCCCTGATGGCGTCCAGGTGATGGCCGCGCACCCTCCGCGTGTTTTTTTTTGGTATTATTATAAAAAAAAGGATGCCCGGGAAATCCCGGGAAACGACTCTCGCTGAGGCGCCGGTGCCATTTTTTCCCAAAATGCTGCTCTCGTTGAGGCGCTGGCTTCATTTCTGCTCCCGAATCGTTCCGACTCGTGCTCCCGCTGCAGCGTAGGCCTCATTTTCGGATCGGTGTTTGGCCTCCGTCGTTCAGGATGGCGTTCTCGCCCCAGCGCGGGCCTTTTTCTCGCGCGCCCATCCGCCCGCCACCACCGCGCCGCACCACCACCACCACCACCCACCACCACACCACCACCACCACCACCACCACCCACCAGCACCCAGTACCAACACCACCACCACCAGCACCACCACCACCACCACTAGCACCACCACCACCACCACCACCACCACCACCACCACCACCACCACCACCACCACCACCACCACCACGACAACCACGCACACACGCACGCACGCACGCACGTGCACCACCACCCACTACGCACGCGCGCGCGGAGCCACAGGTCCGCTACGACACGCGTCCGCGGATAGAGAAAATCAGCGCCATGGTAAGGGATGGGAGGGAGGGGTAGGACGTCAGATATGACGCGAGCGCACCTAGCTTGCCCCCCCCCCCTCCTCTCCTCCCCCTCCCCTCGTTCCCATCCGTTCCCAGACCCCTCGCGCTGCGAAAAAATCACGACGGGAGGTTTTTCGCTATGTTCGGCCTCTCGGGGCCCTCAGCGGGACTCGGGACCGTCACAAAAACGACTCGGGATGAAAGGCTGGTCCCGGGGAATGGGTCCGGACCTCTGAAGGTCGGGTCCTGAAACAATCATGACGTCGGGGGCCCGTGCCACTTCTCCCTGTCACACCCCGAGGCGTGTGCAGGGCGGGTCGGGCGTGCCGTCCGAGACGTCCTGATCATTAGCGACCCTTGAGCTGAAAGGTTCCAAGGAAGCCTCACGGATGGAGGGCGGTCCGCTTTTGACATGTGGCTCTCGTCCGAGCGCCACACACATCCGTCTGAGAAGAATGCAAGAACTTCACGGATGGAGAGCGGGTCGCTTTCAAAGTGTAGCTCTCGCCTGAGCGCCGCGCACGTCCGTCTTCAAGAATGGCAAGAGGTTCAAGGATGGGGGGGCGGCTCTGTTTCAAAATGCGGATCTCGCCTGATTGCCGCGCGCATTCGTCTTCAAGATTTGCACGGATATCACAGATGCAGGGCGGCTCTTTTTCAACATGTGGTTATCGCTGTAGCGCCGAGCGCATTCGTTTCAAGATTTTGAAGCAATGTCAAGACGATCATGGCTACTGTCACAAAAATGTTGTTTGACGCTATGTCGGACTGTCAGGCCGAAATAGTTACGTTAATTGTCGGTGTTGGAATATCAGGCATGATGCTCTGGCATGATTCAGGACCGTCAAAACGCATCAGTGACGGTGATTCGAGGCGTTGAAGTCCCAGGAATGATGTGCTCGCACAGTTCAATAATTTCAAACGGTTGTCTTCCAACGGGGCACTTCTCTCAGTGACAAACAATGAATCCTTGTACGTGGCCTATGATGAGGGAACTTGGAGGGTTCGCTGCAATACCGTTGACAAGTCTTGGGTTTACACTGCTCCCCCTCCTTCTCCTCCTTCTCCCCCTCCTCCTCTTCTCCTCCTCCTTCTCCTCCCCCTCCTTCTCCTCCTCCTCCGTTTCCTGTTCCTCCTCCTCCTCCTCTTCCTCCTCCTCCTCCTCCTCTTCCTCCCCCCCCCCTGTCCTCCTTCTCCTCCTCCTCGTCCTCCTCCCCCTCCCCTCCCCTCCTTCCCCTCCTCGTCGTCCCTTCGGACACGTCTGCTCTGCCCTCCTCCGACGCCTGAGAGATCTAAGCTGGCAAGCCACCGCGCCGACCGAGGCAGGGTCCTCAGCTTCCCCCGCGACCTCCTCGGGCAAGTACAGGCCTCGGGGTGCGCCTCCTCCTCCTCCTCCTCCTCTTCCTCCGCCTCCTCCTCCGCCTCCTCCTCCTCCCCCGCCTCGTACTCCTCGTCATCATCCTCATCATCATAATTATCTGAATCAACACCGCCACCATCGACATCACCATCACCATCACGAGCACCAGCACCAGCACCAGCACCACCGTCATTAACATCATCAACATCAGCGGCATCACCATCACCAGCACTACCACAAGCATCATCATCACCATCGTCATTATCATCACCATCATCTTCATCACATCTTTATCAGCATCATCACCATCGGTTACAGCAATTTCAGCATCGTCATCATCGCCGTGTCATCAACATCATCATGCTCACCGTGATGGTCAGCATCACCACCAGTACAACCACCACCACCATCAACAACAACATCATCATCACCACCATCAGCATCATTATCATCATCATCATCATCAGCATCATCATCATCATCACCACCACAGTCTTCAGCATCATCATCATAAACATCATCGGCACCATCATAATCGTCATCAGCATCATCATCGTCATCATCAGCATGGACAGCAACATCAACATCACTATCATCATAACCATCGTTCCGCCTCCTCCTCCGTCTTTACCCACTCCATTCCGTTCCTCACGCTCCTGTACCTTCTCATTCGTATCCTCCTCCTCCTCCTCCCCCTCGCCCGCACCCTCGGTGCCATCCTCCTCAGCCTCCTCCAGATTCATCATCCTTATCCTCCTCTTCCCTGGTGGCCTGAACGAATGTTCACGCATGTGGTCCTGGGTTCCTGCTGCAAGCATGGCAATGCCTTCTCACGTCGTCGAGACCTGCAATCCCCTGCTCTACCCCCACCTCGCGACAGCCGTGCTCCGGATATGGCCTGACACAGCTCGTGCCGTCGAGGAGGGGAATGATGATGACGACCACGAAAACGACGACGACGAGGTGGCCTTACGGGCAGTCCGAAGCGATTCGTCCCTGCTTGGTCTGCTTGATACCTGCCTGGCCGTGTCAGGATCGCTGATCGGGAAGAAGGACGGTGATATACCGATCAAGACGCACTCCTGCACTTGCAGCAGCGCGGCAACCAGCTTGCCCGCGAGTCCACTTGAAACGAGGTGGCTGAAACTGAGAAGATGGGGGTATGGAGGAGGGGGTAGTAGCGGGCATCAATCGTTGCGCCAGACTGTGTCGGATGGTGGGCTGTGCAAGCGTTGGTCATCGACACTCGCTGGGGTGGCTCTCCCCTCTGGATTGTTTGGTGTCTGCGCGTCGCTGTTCGAGGTTGTGTCTTGTGTTTCTGGCTTCATTTGTTGGTGCCTGCAGCTGCCGACGGCGTCCCTGTGGCGTCTGTCACGTGGTGATGCAGGCCCGCGCCTGGCATCGAGGGAGGCTAGGGCTAGGTTCGTCCTACCCTCCATAGCGCCAGAGCGAGCCCTGTGCTAGCCTAGAGCCTCCCACGGCCCCACTTCATGCAGGGCCCTCTTACGGACAGCGGCCCACCTACCACCATCTTTGTACCTCACCTCCCCCCCGATTCATTGGCTTCGGCCGTCCGCCCACCCTCGGTCATTGCGTGGCTGTGTGAGGGAACGGACACGGAGACAGAGTGACGATGCCGAGAATGGTGTCGTGGGGACAAGTGTAGACGAACACGATGATGGTACTGATGCTGGATATTACGATGGTGATGGCGACACTGATAACGGAGAGGTGGTGAGGGCTCCAAGACAAGCTCCATGAGAGCACAGCTCGTGGACACGAGGGCGCACACGCGCAAACTTCTGCGGCAGCTTACGCGCGAGTGTCCGCGCATTCGGCCAAAGCTCGTTTCATCGATCAGGTGAATTCCCACCGACACACAGGGCGTGGGTGGGTTATAAGGGCACACATTCCAACTCTTGTTCCTCCTCTTCGAAGACGGATTGCGAAATGTGGCCGGGGAGCCGCCTGAGAAAAGGGGAACTCGTAAGCAAGGGAAAGGCGTCCTCACGCAGCGGCTCACGCCAGCAGCTCACGCGGCAGACCACGCGGGCACGAATGCGCTTACGCACGACCATCCGCTGGCAACCTGCGTGCGACGGTCTGCGTAATCGCCCACCGCCCACCTGGTGTAAGAGGACTGCGGGAACACGTCTTCCAGGGGGCCCCATGACCTCCGCTCCAGGGATGGGTGCCGACACGAGTCCAGGGCCCGTATGAACTTGGTCGAACAAGAGATGCGGCTCACGCGCGCGGAAGCTGCAACCCCAAGCGGCGACAGCGCGTGCGGTTGCGCGTCCGCGCGCCCAGGACGAGCGCTGTCTCTGCGCTCTCGAGGGATCCGACGGCAACTGCTCGTGGCCTTCTCTTTTCCTCGAGCCCCTCGCCCCACCACTTCCAATACTGCCCCGCCTCTCTCTTCGCCCCCCCTGGCCCGCGAAAGTTCCTAGAATCATCCAGTACCCCGCGGAAGTCCCACGTCCTGCTTCTCCTGATCCCCCCTGCCTCCTCCTCCTCCTCCTGCCTCCTCCTCCTCCTCCTCCTCCTCCTCCTGCCTCCCCCTGCCTCCTGCCTCCTCCTCCTCCTCCTCCTCCTCCTCCTCCTCCTCCTGCCTCCTCCTCCTCCTCCTCCTCCTGCCTCCTCCTCCTCCTCCCCCCCCCTGCCTCCTCCTCCTCCTCCTCCTGCCTCCCTGCCTCCTCCTCCTCCTCCTCCTGCCTCCCTGCCCCCGCGCGCGCTGGGGGCCGCCAAGGCGCGGGCTCTCCCAGAGGCCCTCCCTCGCCCTGACGGCGTCGAGCGCCGGCCCGGCACCCGGCTCCAGCAGCAGGGAGAGGGCCACCTGACGCGCGCCGCCGGGCACACGGCTTGACCAGCCTCGAACTGATCCCTATCCCTGAGATGGGCGAGCAAACAGCGAGGACAATCTCAGGGATAGGCCCTCAGGAACTGAGGGAATCCTTAAGATCGGCATCGAGGTGAGGTGATGTCAAACATAGGGATGTGGATATGTTTCAAACTGGTAACGGCTTGCGCCACGGGTCTGGTCTGACCGGTGGCGCGCGCCGCCCCCCGAGGCAGCTCCAACAGCAGGACGGTGCGCCACTTGCCAGAAGCCGTGGGCGGGAGGTGGGGCCTGCAGGCTGAGTCTCGTGTGCGTTCCCAGCGCGACCCAGGTATCCTGGGTATGATGCTGGATGGCATGCGCACGGAAGCCAACCTGCTGCGCAGCAAGGCGCATCATACCGCACAGTCGAAGGGGATGGTGCTGCAGTGATGCGCGGCGTTCAAGAGCTGACTACAGCGTAACACGACATGTCGTATCGAAATATACTACACCATAATGGGTCATAACTCGGCGCTCCGTCACATGATTTAGCATAGCACGTTACCGTAGCGACCAACCCGCATGATACACATTACTAGCATGGCAAAGTGTGGCCGATTATACCGTAGCATGTCGTGGCACCACGGCGTCAGCCTTGCGTAGCGTAGCGTAGCCCATTATATAACATAACAGTGTGACACTTCGCGTGACATAGAGTACAAGTACAAGTACGTCCCGCTGCAGCGCAATGCATGCCATCGCGTAGCATGGCATGACAACTCATCCCTGCGCAGTGTGCCGTGCCATCGCATACATTGTCTTGCATGCGCTCACATAACTAGTATCTCATGTCATATAAAGGAGTAGCAATGCAGTGCGGATACAACTACTATCACGAAATCGCGTTATGGGCACTACACATTACAGTCATTAACGAAGCGTGATATACCAGACCACCCTGGCGTTTCAATGCGTAGCATCCACCAACGTCGCATACGATCGTGTTGCATGCCAGCGCACATGTGGCACAGAACATGTGATGTCATATCAAAGCAGCAAACGTACAGTTGCAAGACAACGCTACGCAAACATGCAGTTGTCGCTTCGGCCTGCCCAAACATGTGCTGGACATTATACAGACTGGTGCTTTGAGGTGCGGGGCTGTGGTGTGACGTCTTCTTCGAGGCCGATGGCGTCAGGGATCGCAAGGTTGCCCGCTGTCACCGCTCTTATTCGTAATGACGATGACAATCAGTAGCGAACAAGCGGCTTCGCAGCTTAGATCGAGAATCATGGGAACAAGAGTCCCTCTCTGTTTTGCTTTACGCTGATGGCGAATTGATCTTGAGAAGATCAAAGCGGGCAATAGAAGCACTATTTCTGGCAGTGCTACGTGCTGGAAGATCATATGGCATGGAGCTGCTCCCAGACAAGTTTCAACTCTTGAAAATACGGTGCGAAAACAATGTTCGAAACGTGAAGATACCAGCGCAGCCAGATACGGCCTACCTCGGCGCTCTTACCTCTAACACGGGAGACGCAAACAAGGTGGGCGCGGCGCGGGCCGACTTCGATAAACTTTCAGAGATATTGGGACACTCGGGTTTGAGCTGGCACAGAAAGGTTGACATATACAAGACCGTTGTTCTCAGCAGATTGACATTCTGGTTTGTCTTCGTTGTGGCTCGGTGCTGCCGGGCGTAGGCGATTGGATGGTTTACATTGCCGGTGCCTCCGTTCCATCTGGGGGATCGATCCCGCCTTCATCGCAAGAGTGAGCCACGTTACAGTTCTTCGCGAGACGAGGCAGGCCCCTCTGACGGACGCCGTGGCAAGGCAGGATCTCCTTTTGCTGTGAAAGGCAGCAAGGGCACCAGAAGGGAGTCTGCTGAGAGAAGCCACGTGCTGTCCGAAGTCTTTCCAGCCAGCTTCTGAGGGGTACGTGAGGAAGAGTAGGTAGACCGCAGGTGCTGCGCATGGCGAACGTGGCAGCAAACGGCATGGCACATGCAATCTCACTTCTGACGAATGATACCTTGTGGCGGCATGTTGCGCGCACGGCACACTTGCAGCTGCAGTCCAGAATGACTTGATTGACATTTTCCCACATGATTACGCATGCGTGTCCTACGCACCTCCAGGTGCATTACCTCTTGCTCGCTTGCAACGCATCCACGTCACACGACAACCAAGATCAACTCTGCACTGGGCGACCCCCAAAAAGGATCTGAACGACACCGAAGACTCGGGGCAAAGACCACCGTACCAAGACGCCGGGCGCGCCGGAACCCCAAGCGAATCCCAAGGTCCTTGTGCGCCGCTAGAATATGTCCACATCCACTGCCGCGGGGCCGTCCTCCACGGACTCGGGGAGCGGTGGAGATGGAGATGTGCCTGCCCGTGCGGGCGGGCAGATGTTCACATCCACCACTCCTCGAGATCCCAGGGCACGACTCTGAAGCAGCGGATCTGGGCATATCTTGGCCGTGTACCCTCGTCTTTCGGCGGTGGACAAGCCTCCCTGTAGCAAACCAACCTCCCCTTAGTGAAAACGGCCTGGGACACCGAAACCGACGGACCTGGACCCGCAAAAATGACGGCCGCGACGCCCTCTCGCGAACCGAAAACGGCCAATTCGCTAATCGACGTGTCAGGGTTGGAGGTCTATCAACCTCCGAATCTTTGGGAATCTTTGGGGGGGGGGCGAGGAGCCGTTCCGCCGCGCAACGCAGCGCGCCGAGCCGCGGCCGAAGGGCACCATCCCCCCGCGCAGGCAGACGCCCTGCAGGTTTGCATTCGCCCCCCAGCGGCGCACACGCAGCGCGAATCCGCGCAGGCTGCCGTCGCACAGCCCAGGAGAGTACATCGTTAGGTCGGGCCTGTCCTCCTACAGGCGGGTTTGGGAGGAAGAATGAACAACAATCAAACGAATTCAAAAAGAATCAGGAAACAGTCGGAAACAAACGTCCCCAGGCTATGTTTTGGCTATTGTTGTCTATTTCTCCTGTAGGGGGACATGCCCCACCTCAGAGTATCGGAGCAAGGGCGACTCGAGTGATGAGCGAGCGAACGCCAGGGTCGTGCGCGCTCCTTGGGGGAGCCCGCCCGTACCCATTCAGGGCATGGCGTGGAGGCCGTGGCCTCAAGAACTTGATACGTAGGCGGACTCACGTGAGAACCACCACTCGAGTGACAACCACCACTCGAGTGGTGACTGAGCCGCATCGTTTCCCTCAGGCTGCCTGCGTGGCCCGAGGGCGAACGGATAGAACATGTGGCTACATCCGGAGTCAAAGTGCGCCCTGCTTCAACGCCCCGAGCTTCAGCTCCTCCTCTCTTCATCCTCTTGAGACCTCCTCGCCCGTCTTACTCATCCTCTCGGTGCTGCTGCCCCACTCGTTTATTACCTTCCCTCTTCCTCCTCCTCCCTTCCTCCCTCCCTCCCTCTCTCCCTCCCTCCCTCCCTCCTCCTCCTCCTCGTCCTCCTCCTCCTCCTCCTCGTCTTCCTCCTCCTCCTCCTCCTCCTCCTCCTCCTCCTCTCATTCCTTCTCCTCGCCGCTCCTCCTCCCCGGGAGGCGACGAAGATGGATAGACGATGTGGACGCACGCAAAAGAGGAGACGGAGGCGAAGGAGAGGCAGGCGGAGCGTGACGTGGGGGCGGGGGGGGGGGGGGCAGGAGGAGCCGAGGAGGGGCCGAGGAGGAGAGGCAGGCCTGCCTCACAGCCCCCCCTGGGACGCCAGCGGTCCGGAGGCTTGCTGCACCCGGCCGGGCCTGGTGCACGCCAGCGTCGTCCGCCTCGGCGGGGCGCCGGGAAAACCCTCGGGGGGGCGGGCCTGGCCGCCAGGGCCCGTCGTCGTCGCCAACCTCCGAGAGGAGGGGGTTTCGCAGGAGGGAGAGAGGAGGAAGGATGATGAGTGAAGTTGAGGATATGGTGAGGGCATTGAATGAGGAGCCATTGGATAGGGGAGCCAGGGTCTGGAGGCATTGAATAAGGATAAGGAGCCATTGGATAGGGAAGCCAGGGTCTGGATGGGCCAAGGATGTCACCGCCGCCCTCATCAGATAAGGAATCCTCCAGGGTCAGCAGCCTCTTGGGCACATTCCTTGACCAACGCCCCCAAAGTAGGGGCTTCAAGCGGACCGCGAAGCCCCGAAGAGTTCTGCAGGGTCCTCGCGGCTCCTCATCTTCCGCTCACGTTTCTGCCCCTGCGGCTGCCTTCCACGCTGGACCGACGTGAGTCAGCGAAACTTCTTGCGTCTGCCTGCTGCACATCGCCCCCCTCCCTCCTCATGTGTTCAACTTGCCGCTGCGGCTCAGGGTATCCCACGCCCGAGGTTCTGAGGCTCGAGGAGTCCACCTGCTACACTCCACCGGCTCCATCTCCTCGCCTTCCGCCTGCCCCCTTGCTCGTCGTCCTCCCTGCCCCCCTCATGCCAAAGAGCCGCATGGTCTCCGAGCTGGCTTGATCCCCAAACATTCCCCCTGCCATTCCAGACCGGAACGGTCCGCACCAGCACGCTGCAGACAGCGAGGTCCTAAAAGGCCCTGGTAGGGGGACAGCCGAGGTTGGGTGGACGCGGGCGTGTCACGCCTGGGGGCCGCGTGAATATCGGATGCCTCACGAGGCGCGGGGGCGTGGGTCGAGCATGTTCTCTTCTGGGCCTCCAGCCGATTCTCTGCTGCAGGCGACTTGCGCCATGGACCTCCGGTTGTTGCCGAGACCGCTGGTCGGGTGTTGCTAGAAGTGCCCCCAGCCCACGGTGCCCCCAGGATCGCTAAGAGTAGAGGGCTCCTGGATGGGGCCCTAGTAGATGGGGTCGAAGGATCGCGCCGCATCTCCATTGCATCGCAGATGCATCGGCGATGCATCGCCGACGCCGGCGTGGGGAAGCACGGTCTCCACATCGAGCTGCAGCGTCGATGCATCGGCGATGCAGCGCGATCCCCTGACCCCATCTACCCGCGCCCCACTCAGGAGGCCCAGGAAGAAAGCCCCCACGGCCCCCAAACCACCCCTCACAAGGCGCAGAGGGCTGCGGGGGAGCAAAGACCTGGGGACACCTCCGGCAAGAGGCACTTCCAGCAACACCCAAGCTGGTGCCTCGCCTGCTCTACATGGAGGCTCGGGGAGGCTCTGCCACCGGTCGGAGCAGACTCAACACCTGCGTGCTAGGCTGTCCATCTGCTTTCCCAGGATTTGAGCAGGGACCGACCGTCCCGGCATTCCCAGAGTCCTACCACGCAATGTTCTTAGAACCCAGAACTGTTCTAAGAACAAAACAAATATTCTTAGAACATAAACCCGATGTGAAGAAACAAGACAGTCCCAGCCAGAATTCTTCTCTAAGAACATGTCGTGGGAACCACAAGGAAGCTCTTGGAACACTGTTTGGCAGGGCTATTAGGCGAGCCAGGACGCTTCGCCACTGCTTGCAGGAGCCCCGCCCTCCGGAGCCACGGCCTCGCGCGAGCGTCGGCCGCCCTGCCCTGACCTCCCCATTCCCTTGCCTCGGGGGCGCCGTGGGGCGCGCTCGCCCGCAGCGGCAGCTCCCCTCTCCTCCCGCCCCTCCCCCGTGCGAGGGCCGCCACTGCAAAGCACTGCACGCCGTTCGTTCCTCATCGCGCTCATTGCGAATCCTGCTCGTTTCTACTTCTTCCTGGCCCCCTATAGTGGCCAGGAAGAGGCCCAGGAGTGAAGAATCAGAAATGAAGAGATCCTGGCCCCCCCCCCCCAAAAAAAAAACAATGAACCTTCGAAGACTTAGAACTGGACAAGGTGTATCCACACACATTTGCTCTTGCTCCTCGAGAAGTTGGACGCTCCCCTCGGGAACTCCCGCTGCCCACGACGCACCGCTCTCCGCATGCCGAGAGGCCTGCGACCGTGGGCGGCCACCCGCGGGCAGCCCGACGGATGGCATCGTGTCACCGACCCCGATCCCCGTACCCATCCCTAGGGGGCCAGATGCGAACCCTACCCCTACCCCCCCACGATTTCTGAGGGGGAGGGTGGGGTTCACTTCGCTCGGGAGCTCCCCAACGACGTGAACCCCACCCTCCCCCTAAGAGATCGTGGGAGGTAGGGGTAGGGTTCACATCTGGCCCTCTAATCCCCATCCAGACCCCCAGCATCCTGGCACCCCAGTTGGGGATCTCCCCCTCGAAGCCCGGAGGACACGGACTATGTCTCCATCTAGGGGGGTGAATGGGCCAGTGGGGCTCGGGCCACGCCCATGGGGATAGGGATCGGTTAAACGATGCCCATACCGCGGAAACGTCTGCGCGCGGCGCCGCCACTGCGCGCGCCAGCTTAAACGACTTCAGTCGCGCGGCACCCGCAATGGTGGGCCCAGTCTCCACCAACACTACCATAGGTAGGACGAGGGATGAGGGAGGATGGGGACCTCCTCCTCCTCCTCCTCCTCCTCCGTCTCCTCCTCCTCCTCCTCCTCCTCCTCCTCCTCCTCCTCCTCCTCCTCCTCCTCCTCCTCCCTCCTCCTCCCCCTCCTCCCCCTCCTCCGCGCGCGGCGTCGCCACTAGGCGCGCCAGCTTAAACGACTTTAGACGAGCGGCACCCGCAATGCTTCGGAAGAAAATCTTCTGAGCGTACCCCGCGGTCAGCAGCTAGCCGCGCGGGCACACGCTGAATCTTTCGCGCAACACCGAGCGCAGAGACGATCGCTCTCCCAAATCGCGGCATGGCGACGGCGCCCATCGAGAAGTGATGGTGCTTGCAACATCGAACGCACATCTTGAAGCGAGCACAGAGTAACCACCCTGGAAAACGCAGTAGCCGCACGAAGGTGTAGCAGAGCATTCTTCTGCGCCCGGTTCGGAAACCTGGCCCTGTTCGAGCGGACTTGCGCAGACAACACAGGGGGGCCAGGCGGGCGCCCTGGCGCCCGCCCCCCCGTCCGCAACGGGAGCTGGCACCCTAGTTGGAAGGAGCCCCCTGGGCACAACTCCGACTACTGTCAAGAGCGCGCCCTCGCCTGAGCCCCTCGGGCCTGCACATCTGCGACCGGATCGCATGCAAGTTTTTCGACTCGTGGCGCAGCTGCCCGCCGCCTCCACGATGCCACGCGACGCCTTGGCACAGCGCTGGACTGCGACGCGTGCGCCCCAGATCGGTCGAGAGCGTGCTCG